CACGCCAAGTTTCAGATGCTGTAAAAAACACCCAGGGAGGTTTGTTGCATGCGTTCCGTCTGCATCCACTGCATCTGGAAAGCGTCGGAACAGCGCTATCTGCTGCCATCGGGAAAGCATATGTGGCTATAGTGACCTTCCTCTGACTGGCACACAAGGACGCGTCCGGTCTCACGAAGTTTTGCCAGCGCCGAAGGTATATCATCCGCCACATTAAAACCCAATTACGCGGAACCTGCTCAACATAGCCGGTCGACACTTCCGGCGGTAGCTTTATATATTCCGAGTGGTAAGGAACTTGGCGAATTCATCCGCCACAAACTGCCGCACCTCACATGAGGGTGTTCAACATTTCAGAAATGCCTTGCAGGTGCCAAACTCGTGTTCGGCGAGACATCGATTAACTGGAAGTCTGTCGTACAGAAACTCTGACAGCTTGTGGTTGTTTTCAAGAAAATATTAGGTGACAACCAGTTGGTTCCTTTGGTTCCGTAGATACAACCGCACTCGATAACAGGTGCTTCGCGTGCCTTTTTATTAGAAAATACGCTCGGATTACTAGCTTCTTCGGATTCCGTGGCTTTTCATTGGTCTTGGATGGCGCCTGCTACATTTGTAGTATGCCCATTCGTAACACAAAACAGCGTTGGTTCCCCGATTGCTGGATGAATGCACAACTACCACATGGTTATCCTTCATGTGTTCATGATGGAAACGATACACTCACAAATCTTTCAAAAAACGATTGTGAAGCCACTTCCAAAGCCATAGCACACAAAGTTTCAAAACCAAAAATGCGCCGATAATTTTCAAAAGAGATCGATTAAAACAGATCGCAAAAAAGTGACGGCAGATGCGGGTGATTTTGGAATGAGCACATATGCAAAGAAGTGCGACATTTTGAGGTTCAAGTTTTATTTCACTCACAAGCGTTTTGCAGAATGCATTGTGCGTCGAAGGCGCGGCAGAAAATCTGCCGACGGCTAGATGCACACTCAAAATTTCTCGGAAACCGTGGTTCGTAGGAGTAAAACTTTAACATAAAGTTTTAACATTCGATGGTAATCTTCCGGGCGTATGAGATCTTCCCAAACGGCCGCAGTTTTGTTGAACGTTGTTTAAACTTACTCAATCCCCACGATATTCAAGGTCGCGACATTCATAATTTAATGGCTGCTGTGGCTGAGCACATAGATGTGGAGGATGACTTTGTGGAGAATTTAACTCGTCGATTTAGCTCGCCAAAGTTTTTTCACATTCAATGCATTTCAAGTGGCTTTGAAAGAGTACCAGCTGAAACATTTTGTTGTTTTCGCACACCTAAACTCCAAAAAGAGCAGCAATTCGCCACTTTTGTATGAAAAAGCCTTCTAACGTTGCAGCAGACATCCCTGCAGAAGATGCCGAAGCCGTGGATTTCGTCGCACCTAGTAGGTTCATGGTTGATTGTGTATACCCGGTAGCACACGTCGTACCGATTGTCCGGCAAGATTTCATGTTCGCCCGTACCACGACTGCTTGAGGGTTACTTCCCACTACCTGGAGCACAATCATTCATTCGGCAAGTTTATTTTTGACAAGCTCCCCATCAACCGGCGACTGACAAATGAGGAAGTAAAGGAGTGTTGTACCCTTTTGAAATATGGTGCTCCGTCATCGGAGATTCGGCAGTACGTCGCCGACCACTTTAGAAAGGTACTCACTATCAAGGATGTGCGTAACTATCAGGTTAAATGTCGACTCCCATTGTTAAGTAGTTCGCTGGCTACCTTTTAGTCGGTTTCTTAGATGACATCATCCACCACAGCCAAGTTCCGAGAGTGTGGTCGCGTGCTGCTGGTGGAATCGGAGAGTGACAGATATAGCCACCTGTGCTTTTCTCGAACACAACAGATAGTACTCTTTAGACGTTTCCCGGACGTTGTAAACGTTGCTGCTACACACGGTGCTAACCGTCTTGGGTAAATAAATTTAGAGCCCATGACGTTCGCTGTTAAGATACAAGCTGGAGAACGCCAACGGGCGTTTGAAGAGGCGCGTGAATCACTCAGATAGCCTGGAGCAAGCCGTCCAGAAGGTCACTCATCACACAATTAAACTATTCCCATTAGTTGCCGGTCAGTCTACCTACTGGTCAGCTAAAAGAGCTCTCCTTGATGTTGATCTTGATCGGTACATGGAGAACAAGCCGAGTCTGTCTCGTAAAACAGTCGCAATAAAACTGTTTTGTCCAAATTCGGAGTTGATGGAGACCGGTAATCTGAGGCCTAATTTCTTAGCATACGCTTTGTAGACCTTGCTTTCGAATCCCGTGATGACGAGGAAATCGTGTGATTGTAACTCGAAGGCCTCAAATGCCGAATCAATGAACCCATGGCAATCCGCAACTACTATACATTTATCCCTCATCCCGGTAATGGGAATTATGAACCACTAGGTGAGCAAACAAATAAAATTCCATTACATCCGGATGCTTAAATGCTGTTCCCGAAGATTAATTGCTTGCACAATTTTCTTTTCAGAATCCTTGTCCCGTGAAGTGGATCTTGAGAAAATGAAAAATGGAGCGACTACCAATTAAGCTTGTACCAGTGATGCCAACGAATAAAATGTAATTTGCCAATGGTGTTTTCGTAACTTCATGGCGGGCGCATTATCAACGCATTAAGTTATGGGTATGGAGCGCCATCGTTGGCCATTGTATTACGTTGGCGTGCATAGGTGAGGCCTCATAATCTGCGTCGCGGATAGCAGTTACGCTAAGTAGTCGAAGTGAGCGACAGCTCATTGTTTCGGGTAATGGAGGGAGTGGTCGAGAGGGTACAATCAAGAGTAGGGGTTGGGAGGGCGCTATCAAACTGTGCGGTGATTGCAGTTTGACAGGTGATGACAACCGTTGACTGTTAGGTTAATCTATTATGCGTTGCCGGGGCACCATGGTTAGCTACGATCATGTGTACGGGCCTGGCAGTTACTATAGGTAGCCACCGTATGTTACGCCGACTACAGTTGTGATGTTTACTTGAGGTAGCAAACACAAACGGCATCGAGTAGGTATGAGTATGACGATAACTAGCTAAGTTGGGTGACTTTGTGTACAGTTGTGAGTATAACACGCTGTCAGATTAGGCTATCACCCATAAGTGAGTCCTCGTATTTACCGGTCAACATATATATTGGATTGATGTTCACTGTAGGTAGCGAAGATAAGCGGCTTCGCGTATAGTTAAGGGTATGAAAGACCGTCAGCTTTATACTCAGCGTCACACATAGACACAGGCCTTGCAATTACGATAAGCAGCCAAGGTAGGCGATATCAACTGAAGTACGAGTATGACGGTCAGCCGTTGGTCGTTAAGATGTCACGCATAGTTGGAACCTGGTTTCTGTCGGCCCGCATAGATACTGGCTTGGTGTTTACTGTAGGTAGCAGGCAGGTACGACAGTGAAGCTCGGTGCTTAACACCGATTTCATGCTCTCCATGATGATATAATTAACAGACATAATCGAGAGCGCGCAAACTTATGGGTATGACGGGCCTTCGTTGGCAGTTAAATCAGGACACTTCGCATAGCCGAGGCCTACTAAACAGCGTCGCATATACTGACCTAGCAGTTTCAATAAGTAGTAGTCAAGGTAGGCGGTATCGGGTACAGTTTTGAGTATTAGGTTCATCGTTCGCCATTAGATTAGGTATGTATGCGCAAGGACACGGACTCAACAGGTACGCATAATAGCCAAGTTAGATGACTTCGAGTACAGTTGTGAGTATAACAGGCTGTCAGATGTGGCTATCACGCATAGCTGAGGCCTTATTTTTACCGGTCGGCATATATATTGCACTGATGTTTACTGTAGATAGCGAAGACAAGCGGGATCGCGTATAGTAAAGGGTATAAAAGACCGTCATTGACCATCAGATTATGTTACTGTGCGTAGGTGCAGTCTCCTTATCAACGTTGCACATAAACGCGGGCCTAGCAGTTACAAAAAGTATTCGAGATGAGTGAAAACTAGTAGAGATACGAGTACAAGTGGCCGTCGTTGCTCATTGGATTGGGCTGCCGCGCATATGTGGGGAACCGTAATTAGCGTCGCACACTTACACGGATCCAGCAGCTACAATAGGTAGTCGAGTTGAGTGACAACGGCTACCGTCAACGTGATGACCGCTTTATGGTGGTCACCAACTATAGAACGTCATAATTGTGATAGGAAAGACGCCCACAGCTATCTCGTAACACTGTATTACCTAAAAGCTAGTTACGCATATCTGGGAAAGGGGATAATCCACAGATGTCCCTCGCACTGCCACTGCAAGTTTGTGCTGTTATCTAACTTTATTGCACTTAATGGAACATGAGATCCGTGAAGAAAATGTGTTGTGAGCAGGTTCGCCGAACAAAAATATCCCATTTCATAAATCTGAGGTGTCTAAAGCAAACAAACGCTTGCGACTGATCCTATAGGGTGGCATTTGCATTTAATACTTTTAAGATGTTATTTTATTCTTCAGGAACACCGAAGAACGCCAAAATATACTAAAGTGTGATTTCGTGTTTTATGTCGCGTAAACCGGCAAAAAGTGCAAATCGGCGATGGTCAAGGACCTTGACATTTCGCTCACTTAAACAAACTGCTATGTGCAACATGTCACGGGAAGGTGAAAATTGATTAGACTAACTTCCCATCAAAATAAAAACTTCGAAAACCCTATAGTTTTGGTGAACTCAATTTGGGTGTGTCAATAGCCTGCGGCCAGAGAATCTAATGCCTCTTTATAAATTGGAACGACCCGCCAAACGTAGTCCGTTTTTGCAATGGGTTAAAAAGCTGTGATTTCGATTTGGACGTTGAAGTAGAAGTTCTTGTGATGAACGACTTAGAAAATGCTCATAAGAAGATCTGAATCTCTGGGCGTCGATTCTGTCGGACAGTTTGTTTGAATGGGTAACCGCTCATAGTACCCGCGAACCCGTTTTGTCGCTCACCGCTTCAGATGGCTGATGAATCGGAACTCCTGGACTATGAAGACGAAGAACAAGAGACAGTACAAGAAACTCGCCCAAACGGTGAAGCACCAGCGAAAAAGGGCGTTAAGGGTGCTTATGTTACAATACACAGTTCCGGGTTCCGTGACTTCATCCTGAAACCCGAACTTCTGCGAGCAATCGTTGACTGCGGGTTCGAGCATCCCTCAGAGGTTCAACATGAGTGTATACCGCAAGCCATTCTTAGTATGGATGTCTTGTGCCAGGCAAAATCTGGGATGGGAAAGACTGCTGTGTTCGTAATTGCTACCCTGCAGCAGTTAGATCCGGAAGAAGAGGCGAACACCAGTGTGCTAGTACTGTGTCACACGAGAGAGCTGGCGTTTCAAATTAGCAAGGAATATGAACGTTTCTCCAAATATATGCCGAAGATAAAGGTGAGTTAAATCGGCCGTATCTGACAAATAATAATTTAGGTTGGTGTATTTTTTGGAGGCCTCCCAATCCGTAAGGACATCGAGACGCTATCGAAGTCGCCCGTGCACATCGTGGTCGGAACTCCCGGTCGGATACTGGATCTGATACGCAACCAGGCCCTGAAGCTTCAGCACGTAAAGCACTTCATTATCGACGAATGTGACAAAATGCTGGATATGCTCGGTTAGTATAATACTGTCTCGACTAACACTCGTTCCAGACATGCGGCGCGACATTCAAGAGATCTTCCGAATGACCCCACATCAAAAGCAAGTCATGATGTTCAGTGCGACAATGAGCAAGGAAATTCGGCCCGTCTGTCGCAATTTCATGCAAGATGTACGTTTCCACCAGTGGGGAGTCGGTTAACAGTTACTAACTGATGCCACCTGGATCTATCAAATGCCCAACAGCACACTTCGCGCCTGCTGTCGGCTTAGAGACCTAAGTGGGTACTTGCTAACGACCGGTCGTTACTATTCGGAGATCGCTTGCGGGCGTTCCAGCATGTTCGGTCGTTTGATGAAACTTACGAACTACCCTGGGATTCGTGTCTATCATGGCTCGCGCGATCTGGTAATCACCGCGTGGTCGTATCGTAGAGGACGGGTTCGTTTGGACCAGGTGGCGGAGTCCGTGGTGCCGTTTTCGCAGTGATTTTACTATCGATTTAATGTTGTCTCCTTGTGGACGAGGTGCGCATTTCGTTTTTCACCTTTTTTTGCAGCCTCTGGAAATCTTCATCGAAAATGACTCCAAGCTCACTCTCCATGGTCTACGCCAGCACTACGTTAAGGTGAAAGAAAACGAGAAAAACCGGAAATTGTTCGAGTTGTTAGACGAGCTTCAGTTCAATCAGGTGACTTCTCGTGATGTTTGCCATGCTAATACTGATGTGGGCTCAGGCCAACACATGTGTTCAACCATCCTTGCACTGAGTTTGAGAGTTATTAACTCGTGATTCGTCTCTTTCAGGTCATTATCTTCGTGAAGTCCGTCCAACGCTGCATCGCCCTGGCGCAACTGCTGGTCGACCAAAACTTTCCTGCAATCGCGATGCACCGCCAAATGACCCAGGAGGAACGGCTTGAGCGATACCAGGCATTCAAAAACTTTCAGAAACGCCTGCTTGTCGCGACTAATCTTTTCGGTCGGGGCATGGATATCGAACGGGTCAACATCGTTTTCAACTACGACATGCCTGAAGATTCTGACACCTATCTCCACCGAGTGAGTTGACAAGTAGAAAGATATAATCGCACACGATATCCTATTCGTTTGTTAGTTCTTTTGGTATAATGGGTTCATTGCAGCGCCCCATTCTCACTGGCAACTGACTTCCGTACCATGTCACCATACTAGGTGACATCAACAGTGCGCGTAGATTGGACGTCAGTTTTGTCACTGTTGTAGTGCAAGCGCTTCGTGCACTTATCACCAGTGGACTCAAGCGCTCACAAGAAGGAACGGTCAAGAACACTGCGTCTGCTGGTCCAAATGGTTTGCCTCTAGAAAAATGGCATATCTCTGCCTGATTTGCCATGTGCTTTACGAATTTCTTGTAGTTTGGAGGCGAGATGTTTAGAGCGCGAATTCGCTGACCGGAGGGTCCGTGGTTCCAACTCGGTCTCTGCTTTTGACTCTTCCTGACTGGGCTTGGGCAACCTGGTAGTATCCCAGCGTTGGTGCAGCTAGGCACCGAAAGCTGAACGATTTTTTGTGTGTAAGTACGTTTGTGTTGATGGGCGAATTTACTGACCGAAAGGTCCGTGGTTCGAACTGGACCTCTGTTTCTCGACTTTCTTGTCTAGGTTCGGGCAACCTGCCAGTATCCCAGCCCTCGTGCTTCCTTCGGGGGGCATGGCAGTAGGTACCGGAAGGGTGCTACATTTGAATGCTTTATTCTTTCTTTCTGTGTTGATGTAGTGTGGGTGGTTTTTCGTGACTTTCGGAGAAAGTGTTCGACTGAATGTCCACCTCTTTTGTGCCGTGTGACCACAAGTATCTCAGTTACATGGCTTCGCAGTCTTGAAAAATTGCTCACCACATTGTGGACGTCACCGGTGAATGCTGCGTGAAATTATATTCGGGTCTAACGTGCGTCTGTTGGAGAATGGATACAGGTTTTTTGGGTCTCTTTTTGCGATGAATTGCTACACGGGATGTGTGGAATAACCTGCGTGGATTGAAACTAAACTCCAAAGGTTTCATGCATTCGGAATAAGTTAGCCCATTTCTCTTAATTATGGAGGTGCTGAAATGTTTTGGATAGCTCCACGTCTGCAGTAGGTGAGTTCACAATGGTGGCAACGTATATCTTGAAGGGTCTGCCACTGTCGGGTTCAAGGATGTAGCAACCAACTGCTGTCAGCTCAAGTTGTTCTAGTGTACCTCTGCCAACTATGGCGTCGGTGGGTTCGTTTCATTATTATAAGGATAAACAACGTAATGTTATGTTTCTCTTGATTTGCCACATGCGTTGCCGAAGTTTGATGTACTGGTGGACTGTCCGCGAGGCCTGGTGACAGTAGTGTGTACTTTTTGTCATTGTCGAAAGAGGCCAACATTGCCGCCATGTGGAGGTTAATTCCTTGAAAGATTTGTGGAATTTCCTAAGAGAAGACAAATACACAGACATTGAGGAGGCTTACTGAGAGACGGTCGGAGGCGGTTGGAACTGATGAAATAAGTTCAGAGGGGCACTGTCGCAATCCCGTAATTGAACAGAGGGCGCGGGTGGCGAGGCGCGCAGCTTGTAGCTCAATTTGGTCGAGTAATCGTAGATTTTACCCCGTAAGAGACAGGAGTATTTCATGGTCTGTGGACGGTGGGTTTTCGGGGGCTGAACGGAGGACTATCTTCATGGGAATCTGAGTCACAATCAATCTGTCGTGAGGCGACCTGAACCATAGCTTGGAGTCAGCAAACTAGGATTCCACCAAGTTTAGGATGACGGACCAGGCGTGTCTCCTTATCACGTACCTGTCCATGTGTCCACTACCGCCTCAGAATCTGTAGTTGTTGTTCCAGGACACTTGAGGGAAACATTTCGCCCTGCGTTTGCCGGTTGATTTACTTTTCTAGTGAATTCCTTGTAATCAGGACGGGGTGCTTATTGGTTCGACGAGCACACCCCGTGGTGGCTCGTTTAATCAGTGGTACGGCAGGGTCGCAGCGTAAGCATACTGGACCATTGGTTCGCGATAGCTACCTCTTACTGGAGTGTTTTTCGAAACCCTCTGGGGTGCTTGGTGATCCGCTTGTGGGACAACAACCAACTAGGTGCTAACAGAATTTGCTGGGACATTCCTCTGGGTCAAGAATACAATATCACTCAAAGAACTAAGGGGGTTCGATATAGAAAAGAACATTCCTGTGGTGATAAACCTTGGAAAAATGAGTGAACTGTTCCACCTGATACGCTCACCAGGTCGAAAGGGGTCTCCGGTGGGCGAAACTAATACTGGCTTATTTAAAACGAACGCGAGTAGTTAGTTCGGACAAATTTGGAGGGCATTTCAACTGAGCCTCCGGTCCTCGACGCGTTACGCACACCCGGACAATGAACTAGGAGCATTCAACAGCTTCGGAAATAAGCGAATGCCTTTGTCTTTTCTTCCTCAAACGTCACAGGGCGGCTGGTCCCGACGAACTCCTGCTCTGTTTAAAGATGAAAGCGAACTCATCTTTCGGCGCTTGTATTCACCTCTATCTGCATAGGGGAAACTGTCTTAACTAACCGAAGTGAGTCGACAGTCAAAAGGGTTGTCGCTTTCACGGAGGGACTGGCTTGGTCCCCGTTGTAACCAGACTCAGCGTCGTTTACTCCACATCGTCTTACGAAGGCGTGGGAAGACGGTCCTCGAATTTCAGGCACGGTTCTGGCCGGGACTAGCACATTGCGAGTAGAAAGGAATTCACCGCTATGTATGAGCGCCCTATGGTCCTGGTGCCCCTTTGTTCTACGAATGCGTTTCGACTCTGTCAGCCGGTTACGTCTCAATACGCTTGTGCAACAATTTGCCCCAAAAGTTCGTAAATCCCACACTATTTTCATATGCTTGTGTGCGCCTGGAAGTGTGTAAGGAGCACTTCAAAAGCTTTGCGACAAACAGTAGTGTGCAACAAAGTGTCAACTCAATTTTCGTTTTATACCCGTTAATGAGGCGAGCACGAAGTTCTAGATCCAAGTTTTCGTATTTCCGATAGAAAACCTCGATCTGGAAAGTGCAGGCAACATTCTTATTTTTGAGTGGGAGCAGGAAGTAGTTTCTTAACATGGGTCTAAAAATTCAAGGTGAAGTACTGTACGTATCTCGGGAGTTGCATTCACTGTGTTACTCTTGTGACACTTGGCGAGTTCGAACGGGGGGTATAAGACATCTTCGAGTCTTTGACCACCGATTTCCCATAACTAGCAGAAGTCGGCTAGAACCAGCGGATTCGGAATGAGGTGGCCAGGAAATGGGTCTTCGGTGAAGTACGATTTACTTGAATGTAACGATGCATCCAAAAGCTATGGTGGCTGGGCCGATTCACCGCCTGTCGAGAACGTTTTCCGTGGAGGAAACCTGGAGTTGGACATAATTCAACATGCCATAAGGAAACTACCGATATTACGAGAAGTTTGGGTACTGTTTACCCTACGTTGTGATTGGGCGCGAGTGATCCTCCCTGTGTTAGGCTAGGAACACTGAACTAAATAGCACCCGAATGATATCTATCGCGTTCATTCTGTCTGTTTCCACCGAAATTGACTGAGTCTCGAAGGCGTAGACACCGGTATTCACAGTTGGTTCACCTAGGTCACCCTATCCATTCATCCTTCATTCGGATAGACTTATATTAGTGTGTGGTAGTGAAGCGCCATTGCTCTCATCTGTTGTTGCTGTTAGTGATGAGCGTTTTTCGGGGCTTGAATTTCCAAACAGCCTCCGGTTGTTTGGGTGATGGTCTCCTGACCGATAACTGTAGGGGTCACTTCTCACCGTAAGATCGGGTGACGCTTTCCTGGAAGTTTTGTGGTGTTCAAAAACCAGAATTTCCTCTGCGATGATGTGGTTAATAAGATCGGAGGTCTTGACAGAGCTCACAGCGAAGCGACTTCCGTCTGATTTCATTCAAATCGCGATTTTCCCGGGCAATGCCACAATTAGTACAAGCGTTTCTCACTGGATGAAAAGGCTACTGGGACATGACCAGGCATCTGTGGAGAAAACCACAAAGCATTTAGACCAAGCATTCGCAATTGTGACACCCTTTCGGGACCTAGCTGCCGTGCAACCTGAATTAAGCGCGACGTTTAAGGTGTTGCCAGATTATCCAAGCCGACACAGGAACATTCTAGAAGCTGACGATCGCACCACCGACCCGGTCAGTTGGTCCGACCTCTGCACGTCGACTTTGTCCAGGCATTATCCTAACCCTCGTGCTTCCTTCGGGTTTCACGGCACTGGGGACCCAAAGATGTTTGAACCGGAACAATTATCTTTTAACCACAGCAATTTCGAGTAAGAAGAACGTGCATCAAGTCCAGCTTTGTTTCACGAACTTGAGGTAATGTCAGTTGATTACAATTTTCCCCAGCTGTTAATGAGGCTTGTACCATGTAGCAAATCTCGCAGTAATTTTCCGATAAACGTTACTTTCATTCTAGGTCGCTCGCGCTGGTCGATTTGGAACGAAGGGCCTGGCAATCACATTTATTTCCGACGAAGTTGATGCTAAAGTTCTGAACGACGTACAGAATCGCTTCGAAGTCAATATCAGCGAACTTCCAGATGTCATGGAAATCTCCAGTTACATGGAAGATCGCTAATACCCAACTTGTTACAAATCCTACTCTTGTTTATCTTCCCTATACATATTATTTGTGCTTTGTATTTCCGTGTTCTCGTTCGGGGACGTTACTTATTCGTCTTGCTCGGTTGCAATGCTCTACTAGTCTGTCCTTGAAACTGTGTGAGAGCATTCGTAAGGTAGCTGCATGCACCTCATGGGGCCCTAAACAGCTTTTGGATTGGTTTCGCCTGACTGTGAACGTACCTTGATTCTCCCCAAATTTTTCGCAAGAACGTCATTTGAAAACCATCGTCGTATCAGCCTAGTATCCGTCGCATCTAAGAGGCTCTAACATTAATGTGCGCAGGAGGGACTTTCTTGAGAATCGAGCAGAGTTTCGCCCTGGTTAAGGTTGCATCGACCATATCTTTGCCTTGAAGCAAGTTCCTGAACAGTGCCACTCCTTCGGACGTCCAACGTTGGTCGTTCTTGACTTGAGAGCTGCTTTTTATCCTATCGATCGTCAGAAACTGGCAGTGTCAGGCGATCGAAGGTTTCCCGAATTTATCCCTCAGAAGGGCACGTATGCGAACTCCTGTGGGCGCATACGAGTAATCGGGAAACTTTCCCCCTGAGTTCACATCGTTTAGCTAAGTTAGACAAGGCTGCCCTCATACCTTTCCTCTTCAACTTTGTCACTGAAATTTTTTTGGCTGCTTCTGAAACCTTGGAACTCGAAATGCTCCCGTGATATCCCCTCAGACATTGAGTATTTCGAAGATATTGCTTTCTATTTTTCAAGTCCTTCAAAAATGCAAACCACTTTAGATGACCTAGGTAACTCAGCCGCACTGTTTGGCATGCGCTTTACATCTGAAAAGTATTGGATGCAATCTAACCATCTATTCATGTTCGCAGACAAGCCAACCGATGCGGTAGATGCAGTTGTGTGCGCTCCGCTGGAGTGGCCGGAGTTGAGGTTATTTCTCGAATCGGAAAAACTGGGGCAGCTTTTGCCAACGTCTGACATCTATGGCACTGACGTGACTTCAGTTTGTCCCTCAAGGACAGAGTTTACAACTCAACGGTCGAACCGTACCGCTTAGTGGATCAGACGTGGGCTCTGGGCACAGAGGACATACGGCAGATGTTGGTGTTTGACCATCGGTGTCTCCGAAGCATCGGTCGGGGCATCAGATTATTAGTCTAAAGGTACGCCAGACGGTCCAAAGAAAAATGAACTCTCGGTAGATGAATCGCTCACATTTTATAGTTCGCGCTGGTTAGGACATGTACTCCACATGCCAGATAACCGTCTGCCTTACAAAGCTCTTTTCTCCCAGCCCTGCTCTAAGGGGAAGCGACCGGAGGCCTGATAACGAAGTACGAAAATACTTACCGGTAAACTTAGTCGGGTCGGCAGCTGCTGCCCCTCCCCCTGGATGGGGACCCTAGGACTCATCTTAATGGCTAATGACAATGGCAGAAATGGCCCAATCGCGCAGCCAGTGGAGCTCATACATCAAAGCTATCATTTTTGATCTGATTCCGGAATTAACTGAACATGACATGTTCTCTAGGGCCTTTTACTCCCGTTTTTCGGTGATCGAAATTGCAGCAGCTGGAACCAATGTGCCTATGGTGCACGGCTCATAGCTGATAAATTGCTTGATTTCTCCCGTCGTTCACTGGTTCAACTTGAGAATGGTTGCGATGTAAGTGATATCTGCATGCAAACAGCGATACAAGGGCTCCATCGTCATTATGGTCGACCTTATGACGTTGGTTTTCAAAATTAATGCTTCCGCAGCTACTTACGATAGCTGGGCACCCATTGGTAGGGTGCTTTTACAGTCGATAGCTGTGATAGAGTTTTATTAGGTGTGCGGGCCTTTAGGTCCTCATTGGCAACTCAACATGACATACCGTGACTGCGACGGATCTAGCGAAAACATTAGACTCGTGGTCATCATCATCACTGATCCTCCACTGCCGTGGTGCGTCACTGTTCTTTTATCAGGCTGACTTGGCCTTCCTCGTGGACGAATTTGTATCCAGCGTGGCCAGTTTCGCGTTTACTGTAACCATTGGTCTGAAAGTGGTAGTGTTTGTCGGGTATCGCAGACACCCGACGTCGTCAGTGCTTATTCCGTTGGCTTTTTGTGGTCGGTGTCAACGTGTGCACATTTTGCTAATTGACATTGGGTTCCGAGGTCCACTCTGTCGTCTTCGCCTGGCGACGGTCATCGCTCATCTCTGGTAGTTTTTCATACGTCGGTCGGTTTCCCATCGTCCATCTTACAAATTGCAAACTGAGGACCGGTTTTGGCTAGGCCTCCGGGCCCACTAAATCCTATGCTTGCCATAAGACACCAACGTGTGGTCGGAGTTGCCCTATTTTCTTGTGCCTTTTGCAGTCTTTCAGGTAGTCTAATTTCAAGAGCACAAAATCGTTTGCTAGATGGACAGCGACTAGGAAAGCTAACTGGCGGTCACGAAGTTGCTTGGACAAGATGGATCAGTGGTCGGGGCGCTAATTTACCGACCGGGAGGTCCGTGGTTCGAACCCGACATCTGCATCTCGACTTCTCTTGGGCTTGGGCAACCTGGCAGTATGCTAGCCCGTCGAGCTTCCTTCGGGTGATATGGCAGCTAGGTACCGAAAGGTTGTTTTCTCAGGAGCAAGCTTACTTGCTTTCGACTGTCTGTATGAGGTTTAGCCAGCTTGCATGTGGTAGCCGCAGTTCCCGATCGCGGTGGTTCGTGACTAAGCTGTGATATGAAGGATACGGACTCAATGGAAATTTGAAAGCTGGTGACGGAGGCGTAAAAAATACTTCCGAGAGCGTTCCAAGTGAACTTTTGAAATAGCCAGCTGATGAAGAAATTCGAGCAGGTCGTTCAGGCTGTGACAAAAACATTGCAACTAGTTGCGTTATGATTCTTTACATTCAGGCATGAACGGATGACCAATGACGTGCTCCTCGGTCACTCATTTGATAAAACAGAAGTTCGGTAAGCCAGTGACTCATTTTCGAGACCATACTTGCTTGTGGATACTCCAGGACGGGTAAACACTTTCGGACCAGCGAAAACCACCGTCAAAACGGAAGTGCGTAATTCCTGAAAATATTCCTAATTCTGCAAACTGAAAGCTCCCACGTGCTATCTCCGGTCGTTGCAGAAAACCCTCGGTCGGATAGTGGTTTTCCGCGCCTGCAATCATAGTCACGATGCGAAAGAATGATACCTAGGGACAACAGGAGCTCGTTACTTACTGGTTTCGAGTGAGATTTTTCCAAGCTAGGCAAACTAGGCTGGCAATCCTAGTTGAGACAGCTGGTTCTGATGTAAGGACACTGAATGGCTTGATTTTTGCCCTTCTAGTGACAAATCAGTTATTCACGCAGCGCACTTAAAATGTTAATGTCGCCTCACGTCAGGACCATATGTTGGTTCTCTCAGGTGTCGAAGTTGACTCACTTCTAACTCCACGTATTGATGATATCGCCTCAGTTAGTGGCGAACCGTTTGCATTCGAATTATTTATCTTATTAATTATAGTTCCACCCTTTTCAACCATCTGGTTTCATCTTGTTCCATACCAGTTTTGACATGGTGTCTGGAAGAAAGAAAGATTATCGGTTTTGTATGTTTCTTGATTCAACTATGCTATTCGCACCTATGGAAGCATGTTTCACCTGGATGTTTTTTAAAGTCGATTTTCGCCCAAATGTGTAAACCAAGGAACTAGGTTTCCGTTTCCAAAAGAGGACCCGTAGTGAGTGCTGTGATTACAGAACGATCAGGTCGACTTCGGTCGTAACGAGACTCAACGTCACCTGCCCTTCATCGACCTATGGCGGCCTGTTAAACATTTATTCGAGAACACCAGACGGGATTCCTGCCTGGTATGGGTTGAGCTGACCACATCCCCATACATACGAACAACCAAAAGTTTTGATATCCCTGGATTCTTTTGACTCTTGGTCGGTCTGTTCTCCAAAAGTTTCTGCACGAAAAATAGTGTCCACTCCATTCGTATTCATTTTCGGGATCGACGAGGTAAGGAGACGAGCGCTAGAAGGCTTTCCAAACCCCGAAGTTCAGATTCTCAGATTCCCAGGAATGTCGAATGAGTATGCACGCCTCCATACTTTGTCGCTGCTTGACTCGAACAAGTAACCCAGTAACGTCGACTTAAATTGTTTGGATACGTTAACCACCGTCCAACGCACCTCGTCCAAGCTGCCCCGACCAAACTGCGCTAGTAATCGTGTCGTCAAGTTGTTCAGCTAAAAAAAACTGGGGGAAACATCTGGGTCTGAAGAAACAATTGGATCGTTATCTGTGACAGCCTTTTCGCCCATCGCCGCGCTACAACAGCAGAATTCAACACATCCAAGAGGCAGACTCATCACCATGCAGGAAATAGCTGAATTAGTGCAAAATGAGTACGGTAAATTGATGCACTCAGCACATGTGTCTACCTGTCCATCACAGTGGGCTTTCGGCGACATTTTTCGGCTTTTTGTGGCATGGTTTTCTCCTATGTACGCTCCGATGTTGAGCAGTAAAATCAGTCAAGTGATGCTTTTTGAGTAGCTCAACTGGAACTACGTAAAATCAGTCGTGAGAAAAAAGACTCACCCTCGGCAATGTCCACTTCATCTCTTGTTTATACTACCGTTTTGGATGACATTTTCACCCTGATTATCTTTAGAACTCACTTCTTGCTCAGTCTAACCCTATTTGCGATAGCACGGAGCGGATCCACCTTTTTTCGTCTGCCCTACTCGTTATAACCTTGTCTTCCGCATTGCCCTGATGCTGAGCACAAGATCTCAGATGACTACCATCCTCGGTTCTAAGCATCACGTGCTGAAAACACGAACGCCATTGGCATCGATTAGCGAACATTTCGTGCAACGTCTCCAGCCAGGCACAATGGGGATCACGCGGTCCCCATCCTACAATGCGAGTACCACCCAGACGTTTGGTAATCTCTTACTCCTCTTCCAGGTCAAAAGTTTGTCCGCCACTCTGAATTGGGTACGGAAAACATCACTCTATTCGGGAAACTATGGTTCGGTGTGCACAATACACGGCCTAACCAACGTGGCTTCTGGTGCTGGACATATTCTTCAGTGGAAGTACCACCCGTTGTACAAGCGAAAACTCGCTTTCTAACATCCTCGTTACGGATACGTCGACACCAATCCACATGTGCTGTGGTTCTGAAACAGTGATTATCGAACACCTGAAGACGTCTCAGTTCCGCTGCCCGAACAGACCAAGTCTCACAGCCATGTGACAAAACAGCCCGCACTGTAGCTTGATACACATGTCCCTTGAGATTTAGGGATACAACGCTTTGACGCCATAGGTGTCTCAAATTAGCAAACGCGGCCCGAGCCTTGATGATTCGTGCATCGACCTCATCCGTCACGCTACAGTTGGAACTAATACAACTTCCAACCTACGTAAAACGCCCCACAACTTCGAGTGCCTCCCCCTGGATTGTAAGTGATGTTTTCAGTGACTGCATGTCCAGGAGCATGACCTTAAAGTTTGTGAGTGCAAAGCGCATACCAAGAAACAGGATGACTTTGGTCAGCTCAACTAAAAACACCTGCGCCTTGCCCTCTTCGAAGACGAGGACAATATCGTCTGCATATTCCAGGTCGACAAGGTTTTCGTCAGAGGCTGCTTGAACACCGGGGTTTGAAGACCTTCCAGTATTCGTCTCATTCTCACCAATCACAAATTTAAATAAGAATGGGGATAGTAGACACCCCCTGACGGACGGCGCTTTGTTTAAGTAAGCTTTTGCAGAGTTCTCCGCATACTCCAATGCGTCCGGAATGTTTGAGAAATCAAAGGACGAAATATGTTCACAAACTTCCGGGACATTCCTCGATAGGCGAGTATATTAAGGAGAGCAGACAGCTCAATCGAGTCAAATGTGCCTTAGAAACTCAGGAATATCAAAATTGTGGGTCGTTTGTACGTGTGGCGTTGTTCTCTTATCCGACTGTGTGATGATTTGGTCAGCGCAACCCCTGCATAGTCGGAACCCCGCTTGCTGCTCTCGAGTCAGTGTTTCACGAACCACCATAAGGCCTCGAAGTGCAAGTGAAGTAAGCAATATCGTTACAACAGGTGTTAAGCTGATTCCCCACACTCATTACGAGCCTTTTTGTTGAAAATGTGCACTATCACCGACTCTCCCCAGTTGTCTGGGAGTCTTTTCCAAATACAAGAAAGCAGATTAGATACCCTGACTGAAGACTTCGGTGCCATCTTTGGACAAAGCGAATGGGAAGTCATCCGGACTAGAAGCTCGGTGGCACTTGAGAGAACATATGCAGTCATTAACCTCCGAGGCCGTCGGGGTCTCCCCGTTCCCCATCCACGTCAACTGTGGGCTCCAGATGAGTGGCACCTGGTGACCACGATAGCTGTTTTTCGAAGCATCCGGTGCATGGGTCGGGGCCTACTTTATTAATGATGGTCACTCCTTTCCGATCCTTGATGGTTTCGCTCACAAGTGGTTCCCGGGGACCGGTCACCTGAATCAACTAAGGTAATCTCCAGGCATTCCTGGCTTTCAGGGCCTCTTCCATTTTCTCGGCCTCTTGTACCCACCACACTTCAAGGTCGGCTCGCAGGCTCACATTCACTTGACGTCTGACGATTTGTTGCGTCAAGGTATGTCCGGGAACGGCTGGGATATTTCTCCAAGATTTAAGCAGTGCGTGATATTCAGCGCTCGAGTGAGCCTCATAGCGCCGTGTTACAGGCAAAACTTTCAGCAATGTGCAAAGAGGGGGAGTATTTTAAAGAGACTTTGGAAGACGATTCTGGTTCGTATTGAACTCAAGTACCTGGAGAGCGTGGCTCACTCGAAATCTAACAGGTAAAACTTGAATTTTCTGAATACCACTTGGACTGATTAATGATTTTGAGTCCGCGGGATATTCACGATTTCCTATGGAGTGAAATTAGCTTCGCAATGGGCTTACTGCCCGAGTATTTAATACTTTCAGAAATGCTTGGATTTGAAGGCTTCCTCATCCATCCTGGCTGATTTTCGAGTCAAAATGGAAATCTCGATTAACATTCAACCTATCCACTGTTTACCAATGTTCACAAAGCCGTGACTTGCTGATCTGTTTTAAAACACTCCGATGGACCGTTTGCAGATCTTTCATTTAGACGTTTAGCTAACTGCCACATTCTTGTAGCTAGGTCCTGGACATCCACAAACATTGTCAATCAGCCTGATGGACTTAATTTTATAGAGGGGTGTTAGAACGGCTGGTCATGAATCTCGATTTGCTGCAGTGGATGGATGTCAGGACCATGGGATACGCCTGGAAGCTCCGGTTCGATTAAGGGCCATGGACAAAATTCTTACCTAATTAGCTGGAAGGCCTGACAGGTGTGACCATAATACACAATAATCCTTCAGCTGCAACACCCTTTCGGTGCCTAGCTCCCATGCCACCCAAAGAAAGCACGAGCGCTGCCAGATTCCCCGAGTTCAGACAGGAGAAGCCGAGAGGCAGAGGTCGGGTTCGAACCACTCTAACCACCAAGCCATCTCTCCTCCACAGATGTGACCAGCTAATGGTTCAATAATCTTCTCAATGGGATATTTAGTCTCTTCAGGGAGCAGCTTCTCGTTGACAAACCGAAAACCAGAAATGGTCTTTTGGCAATCTGGACTACCCAGCAGATGGTTTATTCTGAGAAGAGTACCATATGCAGATGGCGTAGTCAGACTAACCATGTTTATATTGAAGTCCAAGTTATTTGACGAGGGTGCGACCAAACAACCACAGATTTCCCAAATTTCCCGAATACAGTATGTCGCAGCTCTGTGTTGAAAAAATGCAGTCGTAAAAACAGCCATTTAATAGTGATTTCCAACAAAATTTAGTGTCAAAAGTGAACAATCGGGGGGAACACATTTGCACGGTATTCCCCTTTGGCATTTCCAGGAGGGTTATAGAAGCACACGATAAAGGCCCGATTCGGCAGATCCCTTGAGGGTGCAATCCCGACACCGATCTCTTTACTCCCCTTCCAGATCATCTGAGTAAAATGTCCTACAAAATAGGAGGAAGAGATATTCTCCTGTATTAAGATGACAGAAGAGAAACTGTGGAAAAAATCGTTCAACTGTGACACTTTCGGTGCCTAGCTGCCATGCCTGTCGAAGGAAGCACGAGGGCTGGGATACTTCCAGGTTGCCTAAGCCTAGATAGGGGAAGTCGAGAGACAGAGATCGGGTTCGAGACACGGACCTCTCGGTCGACAAATCCACGCTCTAACCACTTGAGCCAACTGTGAACATGGATCTGTCCGTACCACAGACGGTTAAAGAGAAAAAACTTAGGTTGGCCTGCACAGTCGAATGGACTACTGCATCCTGATCGTTGATTTGGTTTGTGTATTTGAAGTTAAAACGATACAATCATTGTAATTAAATGTGATAACGTGAACAGCTCCCACGACTATCTCAATAGTTGAAATCCTCACATTAAGTTAAGCATGGAGATAGAGTCCACCTCGGGCACATTACCCCTCATGAACTGTATAACCAGAAGCCAACAGACGCGGGAACTGTCATCAACACACCCAAAGTCCGTGTACGCTAGTAATGCCTCATCGATGTTAAATCGAGTCAGAATGCTGTGCACAAAAGAGATCGACCGAACAGCAGCTGAAATCGAGATTGCCAACAGAATTCAAGAAAATGGATACCCGGTGCGTTGAATTAGGAGGCAATTAATAAGGATCTAGACCCCATAAGGACTGGATTGGTACAGAATTCATTCCATATAAACCAGGAACATTGGAAGTTATTCGAAGATGGCTGAACTTAGCCAACATTCGAGTAGCTTTCCAGAAGGGAAAAACGCTACGCTCAGTTTTGGTGCAATAGAAAGATCCCCTACCGGTTGAAGCGGCTAGGGACCGCAAGGACAGCACTAAGGTTTACATGGGACAGAGTGCCAGGAAATGGCACACCAGAATTGGTGGGAATAAAAGGAAGATAAACAAACCACCAAACAATACGGAAAAATACCAAAAGCTGATCAAAGACTCAGCGATTTCGGCACACGCATTAGACACAGGACAGAATAGATCTGGAGGATGTGGAAGTTTTAAGACGAGGACTGCGATCCTCACCACAGCCGAGCCGACGGAAATTACCAAGCATCACAGTGTGAATAGAATCGAAGGTGTGGAACTGGCGAGTGTATGGAGAGCGGTCTTGGATAAGCCTAGTTGACACGTGACTGTGTGGTTGTCAATGCGCGTAGAAGCGGGGTGGAAATGCAAACCTGACCTAAGTTCATAGAATTCCTCTTCCTTACACAACTATCGTAGCACTAGCTCATCCACACAGACTGGCGGAAAGTGCAAACGACGTTCAAGAGGGATCAGCGCGTGAACCAGAAGCTCTAGACCTTAAGCTGGACCTAAATCCATTTATGTTTCCCCATCAACTTAACACTTGTTGACCCTAGCACACAAAATCCCTTGTCCAACACTTAACACAAAGTTATCTTAACTTAGCCGGTTTGTTCTTGTTCCGCCTTAAACCTCAACCAACCTCGTAACCTGACGAATCCTTTGTGTCAAAAGCGAAACCTTGCTCAGCAATAAATCAACCGATTGTCTCTAAACTTTTCTAAAAACGATAAAACCAAACTACTTTGTGATCGAGTACGCTTCGCGAATCTATATCGTATGGGTTGCTGGGCACTCTGGGACTGTGCCCACCTGATAAGTCGCAAGAACGACGAAGCCGGTCGTGGGCCGTCAGATTTTTAAGCAACCTTATAAGTTACATTCTTTCAAAGATAATAAATATACTGCGATGTATCGAATATCGTACCAAGTTGAATATGAGACGGTCTTTTTGTAGCCGATTCAGTTGAAGAATATCCTAAACGAGAGGTTCTTCAGTTGGGTCTCCCGTTAAAGCCAAAATAGTTCGCAAATGGGCGTTAATTGCGTCCAATTTAGGTTCGATTAGGACACAGGGCTCACAGAAACTGGAAACTGGCAAACTGATGAACCCGAAGATGAGAGAAACCAGTCGGGGGGTTCTCGAGGAGTTTTCACCAACCTTATGAGTAGTGTCCTTTTAATTTGATTAAAACTTACTTTACTATGGTACGTCATGTACCATCAAAGTCTAAGAAGCGAGTGGTGGTCCCTTGAGAAAGGAGTGTTCGATAGGCTACTTATGCGTGAATGTATACATACACATTCACCCGCTGAAAGCTACTGATGAGTACCGAGCTCCAAGCTCTCATTCGATTAAGGAAGACCTGATCGATCCTCATAGCTCCAAGATTCATTCTGATTGTCGTTTACGCCATGAGAACTAATGTTCACCTCAAGTGTGTTGCAGAATGAACCGTCGTCAGTTTGATGGGGGTTGAAACGGCGGCCACATTAATCCGGCCTACTTACTAAAATAGAGACTTGGGCAAATGATTCAACCGACCACACAAAATATTCCCTCTTGTTTCCGTCCCGACAGCGTTTATGCTATATTTACCACATTTGGAAACCAGAATAGATGTTACAGGGCACAGTCAATGATTTCCGATGCCGAGCTAGAACTCACATGTGGGACTGATAAATACAACGATCGATACAAAAGATGAATAACATTTGTCGCTTACCCACATATTCCACGGAATTTGGCTCAGTTGAATAGTCATATAGTTCACTTTCTTTGTACCACTTTTCAACCAGTGTTTGACCTTGGAATAAAATGGAAGAAATCATCCCAAAATATGTCAAAAAAAACCCATCTCACTGCCTGATAGTTTACACCATCTGCGAACGCTAAAACGCACCCGTTTTCAGTAGTTTCGCCTAAAACACACAACAACAGACAAGCGTTGGTTGGGCAGTCCGGCTATGAGGCGACAGGAGCTTGCGGGTACCCACATCCACTTGGGTATTCAAACACACGCAAGAAGAAGCACACGGGTTCCGACCAAGAAGATGCGAATATCACACAACACTCCAACAGTAGGAGCTCTTATTTCCTCTTGTCACGTCCTGGTCTCTCCCCCATGAGTTCTTTCACAACAAGAGTTTGCGTTGGGAAATACAGCTTTTTATGGTGAGCGGGCATACGTAATTGTGATACATTTTGGTAAATACTCCTCGTGTCTTGGTACTGCGCGCATTGACTTCACGGGTCACATTGAAATCACGACTTATGCGACTGTCAACATAGGTCAACAACTCCAAGTTCATCATGCTGAAGCACTGCAATCGGAGCGTGAGGCCCTGGAACTGACGAATGACATAACAGTGTCATCTGCTCAATCTGAGTCCAACTATCTTTCCCCATATGTGATTGACGCGCTCTAGTTTGCGGTCCTCGGAAAGCATACGTAGAGGGTACACATCAGTTGGCCGTTTGATATGTTTGCCGAGCTTGGTCATTTGCTTGCAACCTAACTGCAACCAGTCAGTGATGGTGTCAGTGACAAAAATAAGAGGAAGGGGCGTTCCGTACAAAATTTGCGAAACCTTTGGATGCTTCATTGTAGACGCTAACGCTATCGTAACTGTGGGACTAAATGACACGGGCAATATTCACAAACCTTGACGGGATTATTATTTGGCTAGGTGTATGTACAAGAGCCAGTCTGTCCAGGCAATCAAAGGCTCATATGAGGTCAAGTAAAGCAGTAACAGTTCGTTCGCTGTATTCGTCAGGCTGCTCACTCATTCGACGTAATGCGAAGATGTGGTCAGTGCACCCTCACCGGGTCGTACTTCCCTCCGATGTCCTCAGACATACGTTTAGGGTGATAAGGTTCGCGCCGAACACCCCTTTTGGATATACGTAGGATGATTGATTGGTCCCAGGTTGTTGGAACATCCTCTTTTTCCCCAATTAGTTGAAACAACTTGGTCAGGTCAAGTCAGAAAGTTTCGCCACCGTCTCTGAGTACCGCTGACTGTCGCGCTGTGGCTCGATTGCACCTCAAGATGAAGAGACATATCAGTACCTCATAAACTATTTGCAGACCACCTCTCAACCTGAGCAGGTGGGATAAAATACGGATTCAGGAACAGATGGTTAACTAAACTGCTGTTCAAACTATTCAGCTCGGTGGTCCAGACCTTTGTTCCTGTTTTGTTCAAATTCCAGTATAATCTCAGATGCATCAGCCACACACCCCTCCCTCAGATTCCACCCGATTGTAACCCCCACAATTAGGCCATGCATGACTCGATATCTAACAAACCTTCTCAGTGAATTATACACACCCTTTGAAGGAATACGAAGTCTTGCATTGGAACGCTTTGAAATCCTGTCGACTTTTCCGCAGTGTGAATAGAGGTACCTAGATTGTCCCAATTATGACTCAAGTTTTCTAAGATTCAAGATTCGCATGTACTACCTTGATAAGATGTATTAATTTGTGAGCCAAACTCTTCGGATGTCCAAGAGTTTCTCCTGTACACTTATTGAAATTTTGCACCCAGCAAGCGCCTCGTCTGAAAAATGTCATGAATATGAAAACTCTACACTCGAGATAAGTCTCACCACCGACTGCTGACTACTGCGGTTGTTTATCATCAGCAGGGAGACGCCAGGCAGCTCGACTGCGTCTATCGCCTCCCAAACTCAACGCTGCCGAAGAACAGTTGGTGATCAGTATGAAGCTACCAAATAATCTCGCAACTTTCATCACTGTCACTCAGAACAAACAACCGAATCGCACCTCTGATGAAGGTGGTTGTTTACGGGGGTCCAGTCGAGCACTTCACCAACGCCGGTCTGCTATGGGAGAGGCAGAATAGGCTGAAATCCGTAGACATTAGTGTCGTTTTAACGTTGGTTCGATTTTCCCAACCTGGATATTCTATTCGAGCTTCTGAAAAGCTGCAGTACAGATGAACATAGACTGTTTTGCTTTCAGCCGACTCCCTTGTAGTTTGGCAAGGTGCTAAGGCACCTGTGGTTTTGAAGGTATCCTGCCCTCAGTGATAGACCAAAAAAAACCTTTTCCCCCTGATGACTTCGTCCCCTTCTTTGAGGGGGTGGGGGTACCTCAACTCTTTAAGTCTGTGTGCCTGCTCTATTCGAAACTATTGGCTTATCACAAGCGGGTAATTCCTCCTAACGCATACCTTTTGAAGAAATACGGCTTGGCAATGTTCTGCAATACAGGTTGCTCGGGTGCGCCGATTGGTTGTCGGTCTGTTCACCGAGCTTGGCAGTTGGATTGCAAACGTTTCGTCACCAATCAAAGTGACATTGTCATCAAGCCCCCACTGACGGTGTCAGCTCGATTGGTGATGAAACTTTTGCAATCCAAATGCCAAGTCCGGTGAACAGATTAACAACCAGATACGACTTCACTAGAGTATTAACGAATTTTGTTCTTAGAAAATGGAGGATTAAAACCGCCAGTATACAAGTTATTCCTGGAAAGGCTCATCGCAATATGTTCACTTTTTAGGTCTAGTGAGTCAATATGGAGTGAACGAATATAGTAGATCGTGATACCCGCCTGTTGAAATGCCAGAGATGTAGGTTGGTTGAAGTCATGGAACGTACAAACGTGAAGGAACAACGTGGATAGTAAAGATAGATTAAATGTGGAGCCTTTGGGGAATAAAGCACACCCTTGTCCCCCTCCAACAGACAGAACGGATTCACATTTTGGTCCACGCAGACGATGACTGGTTGTCCAGACTGACAGACGGTTTCTCAAGGATGATAAATTTAAGCAAACTTTTTAAGAAACCAGTAGGGAGAGAGGAAATGTACTGAGGTCCAAGACATATGAAGAGTAGTCGTATCAAGCCGGTCGCCGAAGAACGCCTTCTCAAAGTTGTGAGATATCTGAGATGATTAGCCGCCCAAGTATTTGAAGCTATCCGACGACAACAAGGCATAAATGAGCTTCAGATGAGAACAGATCATATGATAAGCGTAATAAGCAGAATTGTCGGTGTATTGGAATGTTGGTGGCTTGGGTACATTCATTGATAGCTGGTCAGGTAGCTGTTGATCTGTTCACCGAGTTTGGCAATTGACCTGTAGAGATGTTCACCATTCGAGGAGACATCATCTGTGCTGAACAGCGCGCTGATGATGTCTCCTTGAATGGCGTAAAACACTTGTAGGTCAGTTGCCAAACTCAGTGAACAGATCAACAGCCAGATGATAAAAAACCAAGTTTTAGGAAACAAATATACGGAACCTAACATTCAGTGGGTTCATTTGTGATTCATGCTACTGGATGCGTAATTTAGCGTGCACACACACACACACACCACTTACCAGTAATCTTCCCGCACTCGGTAATCCGATCAGCCACGTTCTCTCCCACCAGAGAATTGCCGTATTCATGCTCCCAGTAGGCCGGTGTGCCAGTCTTTTGCAGCTCTTTGGCCCAATTCAATGCCAGGGCGTCCAGTGTCTTTCATAATACAATACAAGGGGCATTTTTGACGGACCACATTTTCATAGCAAATTCAATAATTTCTACAGTCTGCAAGTGTTAAATGCTTTGTAGTACTCTGGGAATAATAGACAGCATATACCGATGGGAACAGTGTGCGTGCCTAGTCACTGAACACAGAGTTGGGTGCTTGACTTGTGGCGATTCTAAGATGGTTTCTGTTGTGATTATTACCAAAGCGGTTGGATAATGCTGTAGCAGTACTCCATTCACAGCGAGGTTGTTGAGGTCGGGATAAAAGTTAATTGCAACCGACAGTTTACTTCCTCCTTGTAGACCACATCCATCCAAGAAACAGTTTTGATTATACTCAGTCTCTCCTACATTCCTTCGTAAGAGCCCTCTGCCTGAAAACACTCCGGAGGGATATTTCAGTGACTCATTTTCTTTGCAATATGAACCCCCCAGGCCTAACAGTGCTTCAGTGATTTGTACCTGTAAGCGGTTGACACTATCATCTGCAAACCCGACCCCATTTCGCGCGCCAGATGAAGCCACATGAGACCGAATTCTGATCAAGCAAGACCAACGACGGCATGGCAAGTGGCGGTTCAGGACCGAACAAGCTTTTCTGGTTTATTCAGCGTGCGAAGTCACATTAGGTTGACCTAACTGCAAGCTTCTCTACTCACTTGCTTGTTTCCCGCCGACCTAGCCGGGAGAACACAGAGTATCCAAACAGTACGACTGCAAACGTTGCTTTCAGCATCAGATATGGCGCACAGCTCAAAACAAAGAAAAAATCGATAAACAATGGGGAAGCTAGAGAAGGATTTTTCGTGAAAAGAAATGCTCTTGTTTAGAACTACAGGAAAATGGTAAACACTGATTTGTCAGATTCAAAAGGAGATAAGAACAGTCCTGAATGTCACATTCCGTTGACGGCTTTTTTCTGTCTGTAAAAGTTTCGTACAACTTTATACTGATCAGAAATCAAAGTTCTCGTACCCCAACCAGATTCTGACTGTGTTTTAGGCGGAACTTCCAGTTGAAACATGCCCACTATTATGAAATCAATGACGTTTTTCATGTTATTTTGGGTTTATCGAACACAATTCGCCTGCTGTACATTTGTGTTTACTCCAATTAAAGTAGTCAACGAAAAGTACTTATTCCCTACGTGAATTAAATCGCAGCTAATAAACCCTCCATCTGTGATTATTTTTCATCAGTAATGCTATTTCCCATCTTTCTGAGCAGTTGCTGCCTGAATCATTGTACTTCAATCTTTGGTTGATCAGATATGACCATAAACTTCTCAGAGAAAGTGAATTCACCGAAGTTTATGTTGTTGTCAATGGTGAAGGTACAGGGGGTAAAACCATCAAAATATATCGAATAATTCAAAATCATTATCCCCTATCAACCTCTTTCATGACTCAGTTGATAAGACAGTTGGTTTTAGTCAGAAAACAAACATCATTTTTTATTACGTTTCACGAGTGGATGACTCCTGTTGCACGGTTACGTAATGTATCGTCCGCGCTTCATTGTAAGACTTTCACAACCTCTACCGATATGTCTTTGATCAGGAAGTTACCGGTGAATCGGCAAATACTACTGACGAAAAATGCGAAGCTCTGCACCGCGTCTAATGGAAGGTGGGTTTTTTTATGGAACTTGTAGAATTGATTTGCAGGGTTCATTTGTAATTGCGTGATAGTCAATGAATATCCGCGATCTTTTATGACTTATTTGATAAAAACAGTTGATTTTTCTCAGCAAATAAACAGTTTTTTATTACGTTGCACGAGTTCGGATACCATAATGGATGACTCCTGTTGCATGGTTACGTAATGTATCATCCGAGATTCAATTTAAGACTTTCACAACTTCTACCGAAAGCTCAAGAAGACGCGTGCGAGTGTTCAGTTTTTTAAAAAACTATGTGTATATGAGACGCTTCCTTTCCTGTCCAATAGCTTGTAACTGCTCAGCTGGTGTTTGTTAATAAACCACTTTGCAGCAAAGGGCCTTCCTCCTTGCAGGGGACTCACCGAAGTTGACTCCTGTTAAATAGTTGCGTAGTGTGTAATTCGTACTCCAACTCAGGGCTTCCGTAACCTGGACTGATATGTTTTTGATCTGCTCGTTACCGGCACAAGCCTAAGTAATCACCGTGTCAATTTCCAACTAGCTCATGTTTGCACTGCGCGCATTTTCTGTTTCCACAGTTGACGCGGCGCGGGGCAAGAACGAGTTATTCTGATACCTTTTTATTTCAATACTAACGTCTGGGTGGGTGAATGGCTCCAGCGAGAGTGGAGACTGCTCAGTTCAGGGTTTATTTGTAATAGGACAGACATTCTGCCTCCCAAGAGCGTTGTCCCGGGAAAGTAAATAGCATGACAATCAAGGCTGAAAACTAGCTATCCTACAAATTCAATGCCACATTCTCAAATACTATTTTGGTTGTCCAAATAAGGTCACCATAACTGGGAAACGCTGTTTCGGACATCATCACAGGGCTACCACCGAATCCTTACGAGGACGTGTTTTAGAACAAGACTTTTTTGATGCAACAGTTGGGCACAGTACACCCAGTCCAAGGTACATCAAGGTATGATCAGGCGTTGGATGGGATACCGCACTTCATATGCACTTTGTTTGGGATAAAAATGGAAGTGAACCACACATCACTTGGTTCAAGTAGCCTCATGACACCAACCTGATATAAGGTTGCACTGAATGGCATGACTTTCTTCAAAATTATGGATAATAGTAGACAAAGAAGGGAGTCCACGTGAGTAAACAACCTAAGGATTATGAGGAGGTTCCTCGGCTGACAAACATTGGTGCCTAACGACGGGACAAATGGTTCAGAAGATATAAATTAACTTAACGGATTTGGGGGAGTTTAGAGCAGAAAGGGTTCAGTTTCGAAGACCACAACTAGTCAAGCAAAATCTTACGCTCAAACCTTTCCATACTTGTCATTTGTTGTATCTGAAGTCTCGCCTTCTTTTCGGTGATCTAATGCCAAGTTCATGGCCAAATTCATACAACAACCCGAATAGTGAGAAAGGCTCTTGATTGTTTTTCTGTTACTGATTTTTCACAGTGAAACGATTCAATCCCTAGATTAGTTGTATAGAAAATACCACAAGATTGTGGATCGAGGCGCATACTGTCTAATAATGAATGTAAGACTTAGGCCAGCCTTAAGGGTGCGCATCTTCAGGGCGAATCGATACACCCGGTAAACCTGTTATAATAGGATTTTCTTACATGGTGGAAAGGAAAATGCGAAATCTGCAGAAGGATGAACCAAGTCAACCAGTTGTCGCCTACTCTATGGGCTTTCTAAAACTAACCCCTCCAGATTGACCGCCCCGCACATACGAGTCTCTTCTCACACATACTACTGTTTGTTATAGCTCGCTGTGACTCCGCCGAGCATTTCATCCAGCATTCATTCGGCATGCCGAGTTTTCGCACGACCGCGCACATGTTCGAGGCTGACGATAGGCAGGTGGAATTCGCGAGTTCAATCGTACTCAGACAGGGTAACACACTGGAGGAACTGAGCAAGGTTACCAAGAGTACACGACCTTCTCAGGTATATGGCACAGAGAGACCCATTGAGCTGGAAAAGCCGCATATTGATTTAGCGGTGAATGCACACGGAAAACACAGCGAAAGAAACCGATATGACTTCGCGATCCGAACGATCCATGAACATCCGAGGGTTTTCATGTAGAGTCAATAAATCACAGCAGAGTGCCAGCTTCTTATACGATACTAGCGGAAAATAAAGTTACTTTTGGAACTGGTGGCCTTGGTAAAAAGTGCGAGTCAAGCAGCCTTGCATATTGTAGCTCTAGAAAGAAATCCTTCGTTTAACCAGAGCTCGAGATGGTTCGGCAGTTTAATCGCCAATTTACTGACCAGGAGGTTCGTGACTCTAACCTCAACCTCTGCATCTCGGTTGCTCCTATCTGGGCTTGAGTGATCTGGCGGAACCTCAGCTCTCGTGTATCCTTCGGGTGGAATGGCACTTAGGTACCAGATGTGTTTTACAGCTGAACGATTATTTTATAACTGGTACTACTAGTTTGACTGCAGCATACTTTAGTAATAAACTTGAGAGTACCACTTTAAGCTCCCAAAAAATTCCAGGTACTGCTGGCTAATTTCGATGAATAATTAACGATCGTTATTGGAAATAGGCAACACTTTTATTTGGCAACCAATATTTGACGAAGTATTGATTTCTTCCTAGAGTAACGGGGTCACTAACACATCGCCCATCTGCCTATGGCCCACTCGTAAACTTATGTAATGCCATCAGACCCAGGATGCGGCCAAGAAAGAAAATGTGAACTTTTGATTGGTCAACTGCAGTGATTATTTCTCTGTATCCTATGACGAAGGCTGGTACCTCTAGGGATGTAGTCACATCTGATTTTTGATGACAGACAAACTCTGGTTACAGAGGACACCGGATATATGGGAAGAATGAAACAGTGAGCAAATGTACCAAGGTAGCTAGAAACACCCAGACCAGCATTTACTTGACAGGTGAGTGCGAGGGAACCCAGCTAAACTTGTGGGTTTATTAGCGGTTATACAAAGATCAGCCTGTCCCTTGCTGTCAAAGCAATCTTAGAGAATAAGACTGGACACCGATTAAAAAACAAGGTGTGTAGTGAACTATGTTCTTTTTTCCACAGGTCATCACACAAAAAATTGGGATAGGTCAGTGGTAAACGCAGCTTACAATACGGCTTATCCAGCCCCTTGAAAAAATGTTTTAGGTGTCCTCCTCATGGTGCTCAGGTAGTCTAAAGGGCTGTATTCAGGTTTCAGTCCAGTCTGTGTGCATACCCACCCTGTATGTGTACCCACCCCTGACTAAGCCCTAGAGCTCTAGGTAGCTGAGTGGTTAAGAACCCAACTAATTGACCAGAAAGCCCACGGTTCGAACCTAACCTGACATATCGACTGCCACTGTTTAG